TGGTTTTGGAATATCTTTTTTTTCTATTTGAAGTAGGTTTTGGTTAAAGCATGTCTATTTACAAGTATGTTTTTAGATGGACGCATAGAAAAATATTTAAATATTTTTAATTAGTATAGAAGCACGAACGCCAGCCTTAGTCTTCCGTGACCACTAAAACCGAACAGTATCCGAAGTCCAAATTTAAATGTTGGCACAACACTTAAGTGCGTTTGGAACTCTTCGCTATGTTTTTTTATATCGAGGTATAATTTTTAGGGAGAATAAGGGTGAAAAATATCCCTAAAACTGGGAAATTCACAAAATGAAAACAAAAATTTCTTTTTATCTGGGAAGATACGTGATGAGGGCTTTCCAAATAATAATAATAATAATAATAATAATAAACGCGATATTAAAAAAGCTAATATTGCAATTAACCTTTGTTTTTAACGGCTCACCGACCGTGGAAGTTCACTACGCACAGTTTACATAATTCAATAATTAATTACGTGAAGCGTGAAATCAGATTCACCAACGTACCGCGTCGTAAATATACACCTTAATCGTCCCTAAAAACAATGTCCCGAAATAATCTGTACGCCATAAAACAAAACGTTAAACTTTGAATAACGGTGCCGATAATACAGCGGCTGTAAACTTTTTATAACTAGAACACAAATCATGGGCTATTTGTTTTCTTAATCCGTCTTTTTTGCGATCGAAAACCTGATTTGTATTAAAATAATTTTCACCAGATTAAGCGCTCGTCCACAAACAGGCGGAAACCAAATTTAATTTAATTTAATTAATTATATAACATGTTTCTATTGTATTATATTATTGTCTATTTTTTATGAATTAACGAAATCTAGCGGGGACCGAGACAAACTTAAGAGAATTACCGCACAAATGTGTGAATGAACACTTATTGCCAAAATTCGTTTCTCTTTACCAACATAAGTTAATCTTCTTCTGTGTGTATGAGAATTATAATTTTTTTAGTTTCATCATGGCAACGTTTTTTTTGTGTTTCATTTTTGTATACGTTGAAATTTCCAATCTGATCTTAATAGGATCTGCTAGAAGGAATATCATTTTGAAATGAATAGTAATTTGTACACCTTAAATTTTTATACCTATTTTATAACAATTATTATTGTATACCTACATACATGTAAAAATACACCAACATAATATTCAACTTCTATATGTAAATTTAAATTTATAATACTAAAAGTGTATATGTGTGAAATATATTTGCAGTATACAAGGATGCGGAGTTCTTGAAAGAATCTCTCGCCTCAATCGTTCTCAAACAGCTCAGGATCGCGACCCGCTTGATGCAATCGGTTGCCTGTCTTTCTTACTCTCTGTCACACTCACCGTATCTTTGCCCGATCGAGAGATGCACAGAGAAGTATCTCTGGATTTTCCAAAATATAATGCGTCCATCATACGGGAATACTTATGAAAATTAAAACAAAAATGTGTATTCGTTAGCATTGACTTCCTCAAACTCCTGCAACTTTTTGGTTTCATTCGATAGTGAACGAGCTGCATACCGCTGCCATTTCCTTGCTACCCCCGCCTACCCTGCTTATGTAGTCTATTATCAATCATTAGCACAAATCCCAGTAATGCCCCACCTATTTTCCTACATAACCTCATTGCACAGTAACCTGGCCGATCAGCGTCCTCGTCGAACCCGTCGCTTGCGACTAAGGGCTCGACGAGTGAACTAACCCATAGACACAGCCCACTGAGTTTCTCGCCGGATATTCTCAGTGGGTCACGTTTCCGATCCGGTGGTAGATTCTGCGAAGCACAGCTGCGTAGCAAGCTACGGCCAGTGTTAGCAACACACCCGGTTTGAGCCCCATGAGCTCACCTACACGTCAAGGAGAAGCTGATATAGCCTCTCAAGGCTATCAGAAAAGGTAGGAAAAAAAAGTAGCACGGTATAATATCAAATAAGATCGAGTCTCAATGTTCGGGCGCAGAATAATAAATGTACGACAAACACAGACCGAAATCACACTCGACAAAGCGAAAGTCAACAGAAATTCATGTCGAAACATAAATTATATTACACGTCTTTTGTTTTCGTTCGTACAAGCGGAGCCGCTTGCTCAATGTACTGTGGTGGAATAGGAGCCCTTTTGTCCAACCGTAAAAGTTTAACTAGGCATGATCTCGGTATGCTATACGCTTGGTCTCTTAATCTGTTTATTGACTATGCATTCAATTAAATTTGTTGTTACGCGAAAAATTCATACGGAATTATTTCTTAAAATTAAATTGCGACAGCGTCACGGCAGAAATGGGCAGGATGGTGGTGTAGGGGAATGATACGCCCCGCTTAGCTTACTATGCAGTTATTGTGCATATAGTAATGAGCAGCATACGTTAGTCAGTCAGTGGTCAACGTGCAGCGATCCACCGCGGTCGCTGACGCGAATAAACATGTAATCATAGTCAGTGTTTTAATGACCGCTCCGATGAGGTTTATGGAGGACAACACGCAACAAACAACCAACGCACACGCCTCCTCCTTCGTCATGTCAGCGGCTACGACAACGTGGTAGCCGATACTTTATCGCGTGTAGAGTTGGTTGGAACCGAGGTTTCCTGAGGAGAACGCATAATAAACCTCACAGTGGTATCTAACCGTGCGAACTCACAAGACTTCCTACATTGATGGTGTTCACACCAAGTGAACGAGTTCACTTGATGTTAATTGGCTACCATAACCCATAGCTACCAGAACATGAATGCTATCTCAGTAGTAACGCAAATTAAATTATTTGTGGGTTTTATTTCTATTATACGATGTAATTCCTTCGTCGTCATAGTAATTTGTGAACATGACTTATGTGCGTGTTTCATTACACAAATTAGTATAGGCCAGCGGGATTCGAACACCGGCATAATCGCATCTCTCCATACGAAGACATAAAGCGTCTTATCAATTTACCAGGTACCAATTTTTCCGGTGAAATACACGCAGGTACTTATCAGATGTTCACGACTGACTTCCACGGTGAAGGAATAGCATCGTGTAATAAAAATCAAACCCGCAAAGTTATAATCTGTGTAGTTACTGGTGATAGGATGTCTTGTGAGTCCGCACGGGTAGGTACCCTGCCTATTTCGGCTGGGAAGCAGTAATGCGTTTCAGCTTGAAGGGCGGGGCAGCCGTTATACTTACTGTTAAAAGTGAGATCTTACAGCTCATGACTCTAGAAGGGTGGTGGCGTTTGCGTTGTAGATGTATATGGGCTCCGGTAACCACATAACACCAGGTGAGCCGTGAGCTCGTCCTTTCATATAAGTATTAAAAAATCTATATCTATACTAATATTATAAAGAGGAAAGATTTGTTTGTTTGTATTGAATAGGCTCCGAAACTACTGAACCGATTTGAAAAATTCTTTCACTGTTTGGAAGCTACACTATTCCCGAGGGACATAGGCTATAATCTTTTTTGAAAAAAATTAGGGATGCTTACTAAAACTCCAATAATGTAACCCAAGGTGTAAAAAAATTACCTAAAATATTCTTTATATCGCGTGCCCTGCGAAAACTATTGATAATAGAATAAAATAATGTACTACGACTTTATAGAACACATTACTATTTATAGTGTCGCAACAGCATACCTATATCTATTATATAGGTAATATAGTTATGCCGCAATAAGTGTTCTTTTATTAAAAAAAAAAAAAACAACGACAAATATCGTTGAAAAGACCCGAGCGGAGCCGGAGCGGGCCGCTTGTAAATAAATAAATAAGTGAATTACGAATTGTAAAGTGTTCTGTGAGTGTTAAATAGAGTTTTAGTTGGTACTTCGTTAGAATTTTTATGTATCCCGAACCCCAGCACGTAATAATACTCAGAGCATACACGATAGCGGAAACAAGTGACCTTGGACTATATGACTTTTGCATATGTCGTTTTTTATATTACACAATGAAGTCGGTCGTGAATGAAGCGTTGATTACAGATTTACAGCAAAGCAAATAAATACTGATGTTTGTGCAAATTGAACTCGCTTCGAGAGTTGCAACTCAATCACCAGTGTGCTCAGTGCGGGTTTTTTAACTTCTCGATCGCGTTAAAGTTAGCGGCAAACTTAGGGCCGCTGTTCCAACTCCATACAAAATTGAGTCAACTTTTACGCGGTCGAGAAGTTAAAAATCTCGCACTAAGCACACAGTAAGAATAAGTTATTGTACCCGGCATATTAGTGCCAGAGTGCGCAATTTACTGGGCGTAGTGCATCACATCTGAAATTACGAATAATGTAGAGGTGGTAGGACGTCTTGATAGGTAGGATAGGTACCACTATCCACTATCCGGCGGGCAGCTTTTCCATATGTCGTTTTTTATGTTACACAATGAAGTCGGTCGTGAATGAAGCGTTGATTTGCAGCAAAGCGAATAAAAATACTGGTGTTTGTGCAAATTCAACTCGCTTCGAGAGTTCCAACTCAATCACCAGTGTGCTTAGTGCGGGTTTTTTAACTTCTCGATCACGTTAAAGTTAGCGGCAAACGTAGGGCCGTTGTTCCAACTCCATACAAAATTGAGTTAGCTTTTACGCTGTCGAGAAGTTAAAAATCTCGCACTAAGCACACAGTAAGAATAAGTTATTGTATCCGGCATATTAGTGCCAGAGTGCGCAATTTACTGGGCGAAGTGCATCACATCTGAAATCACGAGTAATTTACAGTTGGTGGTAGGACGTCTTGAGTCCGCAAGGGTAGGTACTATTTCTACCGTGAAGCAATAATGCGTTTCGGTTTGGAGGGTATGGCAGCCGTTGTACTGTTAAAACTGAGACTTAGAACTTATGTCTCGAGGTAGGTGGCGGCATTTACGTCGTAAGTATCTATGGGCTCGGGTAACCACTTAACACCAGATGGGCCGTGAGCTCGTTCAGCTAAGCAATTAAAAAAAACGAGAAACTTAAAAGACACTTAAAGTATTCGCTTTTAATTTTCACTTCAATTTACCTGACTTTATGCTGTTAGGAGACGCCATGGCTGCCAGGTCCACCTTCGCCGAGGGATCTAAAAACAAATAAAAAAATGTACATCAAATTTAATTTAAAAATAAAAAATCGGTTGTCTGTAAAGTCGGTTTACTGAGGACAATTGAACGTGACAACGTCATAAGAAAATACTGATGGAATGGTTTCATTTTTCAATTATCGCAATTATCGTTGCTATAAACAATTGACACCACTTTTCACTAAACTTCATACTTGACGAAAACATGTAAATGTATTATTGTATAGCAGCTGTCCACGCGGATGCATCGCTCACTCAAGTTGGAGAGAGACAGATGTCGAACGCTGCCGAACGCGAAGGCCGATTGTGCCTCTTTGTCGCTCGTTGCGCGCTCTCGCTTGCACTTCAAGCCTTAAATGGAACGCCTCAGAGCGAGGTAACACCGTATGAGTCATGTTTTTTCGTGCGGCTCCAACGAATTATAAGACATTGACACGTCAAAAACAACTTTTAATTTACTTTATTTATGAGTTTCCATTATCTAAAAGCCGTGGTCGCAAACAAATGACTCTCGTCTTGTGCGTGGGCCAGTGTTCTTAATCTTCAAAACATATTAAATTATCATAAAACACAGTGTTGTTATATTCATGCCTAAAAAGACTCCTTGAACGAACGTTTAATTCGCGGCCGAGTTCACGGTCAACTGGAATTACACGTGGCTTTATCGCATCAGTAGTTAAGATCTGGGAGTTTTCGTGCATGAACGCAATCTTATTGTGTCAATATTTTGTCAATTCGTGATATATTGAAGTTTTTATTTATTTATTAGATGGGTGGAAGAGCTCACAGCCCACGTGATTTTAATTGGCTACTGGAGCCCATAGACATCTGCAATGTAAATGCGCCAATCACCTTGAGATGTAAGTTTTAGAGTCTCAAGTATAGTTACAACGGCTGCCCCACCTTTCAAGCCGAAACGCATTACTGCTTCACGGCTGAAATAGGCAGGGCGATAGTGCTTACCCACGCGGACTCTCAAGAGGTCCTACCACCAGTAATTACGCAAATTATAATTTTGCGGGTTTGATTTTTATTACACAATGTTATTCCTTCACCGTGGAAGTCAATCGTGAACATTTGTTAAGTACGTATTTCATTACGAAAATTGGTCACCCGCCTGCAGGATTCGAACACCGTTGCATCGCTAGATACAAATGCACCGGACGGACGTCTTATCCTTTAGGCCACGACGACTTCAAGTCGAAGTGCTTTTTTTTTTAAATTTCAATTGAAAATAGGTGAGCTGTAGGATCGTGAGTGAAGTCAACAATCGATTTCAGTTCAGACTCGCCGAATTCCGACCACAAGCGCAGAGTAGAGTTCATCCATATTACCTAGAAACCACTGCATCCACAATGCGTTTCCAAAGTTTTTTTTCGCTCCGTACAATCCTGCTTCCCTTCACGATGTTTCCCGAGCGCAGCGGCTTGGCTCTGCCCCTGGCATTGCTGACGTCCATGGGCGACAGTAACCACTCGCCATCAGGTGGGCCGCGTGCTCGTCTGCTTACAAAGGCAATAAAAAAATTGAGCTAATTTATTGAGTGGCGCGTACTGGACGACGTAGCGTGGGTAGACCTCCCACAAGATGGACCGTCGACCTATTAAGGTTCGCGGGGATTTGCTGGATGCAACCAGTGTAGGACCGATCTTTGTGGTGAGGCTTAGGGGAGGTCAATGTCCAGCTGTGGACGTGTGGGCTGATAGAAACGGAATGTTTTGAAGTTTTCGTAATTACGTAAAATTTCGAATAATTTCATTTTTTTTTAGTAGTCAAGAATGGTAACCGATTTCTTTATCCTTCTTATGATTAGTGAGTAGCGTGACTTATTAAAATCTCAAATCCAAGTTATTGAGTTGTTTAGCTCTTATTTTAGAGCATAAAACAGATAGGGTGACGGTATCTATACGCGCGAGCTGTCATTACTTTACCTGAGTCATTTAATAAAATCCTAAATAAATCCTTTTTGGGTTCGCATGGCTTAGCAATGCCTTCCTCGTTGTATAGATTCTGCCTATAATAAATCTGTGGATTAAATCTCCACAAGCAATTTATAACTCGTCTCCACACGTGTTTGAGGTTGTAAATCTTATCAAGCACTATATTTTACGGCTTCTGTTTGAGGCGCGAAACAAGTAATTTAACTGTATCATAATTCAATATATCGGACGTGTTTACAAGCTGTACGTAATGCGAGTGTTAATTAAAAATAATTAGAGGTCGTCTGTGGTATCGATAATCTGCGCATCGATTATTCGGTAGGATATTTTTGTATATAACTATAGTTATATACAAAAATATTTTATTGTTGTGGTTGTAGTTTTAGACATTACATTTGAATTTTGAATTTTGGAATGTCTTAGTATTGTCATTTTCTTTTTTAAAAATATCCCACGCAATAATTGGCAATAATTAGCAGTAGTATTATAATACTACTGCCAATTTGAGACTTAGAGACAATTTGAGAAGTCCATATTTCGAAATAGAGTCGAAATTTTATTGGCATTGGTCAAGGCTATTCAGCGCTGTTGGCGAGAATTCGTGTTAGTTAGCGGCAAAAATAGATATGATGGTGACACCAAGCAAGGAAAACTATGTATAAAGTACGGACCTTTGCAAGGATAGGGGGATTTTTTGTTGCGCCTTAGTTCACTATCTGTATATTTAACCTGACTAAGGATTAGCTGGTACAAGTATATTACCAATTTCATTACTTAGGACATATCACTGTGTAGCCAGGAAATGGGTAGCCTGACCTTGGATTCTGATCAAGTAGGATATCCCGGAAGTAAAAGTTCGCGGTCCCGTCGTCCACAGGCTTTGGTATAGTCTGACAGGCTGTCGTAACGTGCCTGCCGACCTAACTCGTTGACGACTCTGTCGCTTGGGACTCGGTTGTAGTGTTACCCTCGAAATCCATCCAACCATGCTCAAGCGAGTAACGGACGTCGAGCCTGAGTATTCTATGGGGGTTGATCGATAGTCGTGCGGTTGAGGCTTTTCCGCGCGTCTTTCTCAACGGGTAGTCTCTTCGAAGGCGCTGGTGTCCAAAATAACCCGGCCTGATCCCCCATCGGTTGGGTGGTGGTAAATGGTTAATTAATGGTTTACAAGTCATCGTGGCCCAAAGGGTAAGACGTCAGGTGCATTCGTATCCAACGATGCACCGGTGTTCGAATCCCGCAGGCGGGTACCAGTTTTTCTAATGAAATACGTACTTAACAAATGTTCACGATTGACTTCCACGGTGAAGGAATAACATCGTGTAATAAAAATCAAACCCGTAAAATTATGATTTGCGTAATTACTGGTGGTAGAACCTCTTGTGAGTCCGTGCGAGTAGGTACCACCACCCCGCTTATTTCTGCCGTGAAGCAGTAATGCGTTTCGGTTTGAAGGGTGGGGTGGCGTTGTAACTATACTAAGACCTTAGAACCTATATCTCAAGATGGGTGGCGCATTTACGTTGTGGATGTCTATGGACTCCAGTAACCACTTAACACCAGGTGGGCTATGAGCTCGTCCACCTATCTGAGCAATAAAAAAATAAATATAAAATGGATTCCCCCTCATAAAAAAGGCGTCCGATTGGCAAATTAACCCTTATGAACATCGTTCAAATGTCGTTTCCGTCATTTTGTTTTGGAAGCCAGCTATAAGTGAATTAACAGAACAGGCCTCGCGATATGTTTAATAGAAATTACTGAGCACAGTCAACACGTCATTACGATAACGATGTGTAATTAGTCCCGTGCGTAGACAGCGCACTGTCGCTTACTTATAGACGTTGCTTCTCAAATTTTGGATTATAAATACTTATTGTTTTTTTTGTTAAATGTAATGTACCAAAACCTAGGTCCGGCATAATACTAGGATTACAATCTAGCTCAATAAGTCTAATAAATAATTTTAATTTAACATAAACTACTAAATTATTTCTATGCTAAATTCTTTCTTGTTCGGTATCTTTGCTATAAAATATTATAGTAGGTTGTCCTATGCAATTAGCAATGGGGACGTATAAAGTGACGAATTGTTATTGCATGAATACTGAAATTGGTTACTACATATTATTGAATTAATTAAACCAACTCAGAAATTATATGTTACAAATGAGTGTAAAACAGAAAAAAAGAAAGAAAAATTTAAAGAAAAGCAGTAATTGAACGCGACTGCTTAATGGGTAGTACTAAGACTAATAAACTAGGTATTCGCTAGAGGACCATCAAGCCCTGACATCTTTACGATACCATTAATACTTCGTGCTGTAAAAGTGAAAGTACGAGAGAAGACAACATACTGGATGGTATGGACATGATAGTATGTGCGGCAGATCACCTTTACGATGGACCGACCAAATAAAGGCAGCTCTAAATGGTCCCGTTAACGAGTGCACAAGAAGGGCCGCGGTACGCGAGGAATGGCGGCGTCTGGTGACGCGCACCACCACCCGAAGTGATGACCACGACCACTCTGCCAAGAGTGCATACCACTGAGAATGGACATGTGCTGAGATGAAATGACAATGAGGTTGGTAAGATAGTTTGTAAGATAAGTTTATGAATGTGACAGGCTTTAGAGGAAGAGGTAGACCTAAGAAGAAATGGATGGATTGCGTGAAAGACGATATGTGTAAGAGGGGAGTGAGATTTGGTGTATGATAGAGAAGTGTGGAAGGAGAAAACATGTTGCACCGACCCCAGGTGAATGGGAGAAGAGCAGGAAAATGATGATAAGAAAAGACAACCATTTTATTCAATAAAGAAGCAGGGCGAATAAAAAAATTGAAATATTCACTTCGCCTTAGCTTTCCTGATCTGCCTTTACCATTACCTTAACCAGACATAATAAGTTTACAACAAGGTTTCACTCTAACACGAAAACAAAAATTTCCCAAAACGCTCTTATAACCGGGTATTTCTACAACACAATAACGAGATTTTTGTTTAAAATTATTTAGAAAATTCCATTATGCACTATGAATGCATATCATATCAATC